AATGTACCACCTGGAATATTGGCTGTAAACAGCAAAGGTCTACCAGCTATGCTATTTCCCCTTTTTATAGACAAAGGATACTCCTGAATATGTGACATCTGTCAGATCAGCTACTAAGCAGCTTTCCTAATGGTAAGAATACCAAATTGAATTGGTTGTGAGCCAGGCTGACTGGGAATCTGGTTCAGACTGAGTTATGTATTCTTTGACACCAACATATTCCTATCTGCTCCAACTACCTTTGTCTCTTCTCAGAAGCTAGGACTAGTTATGTGCTACCATTGCTGGGTATATACTTCTCCTACATGCTTCTGCCTTTACAGTGTTCCAGAGACTGGTAGTTTTGTGTATTAACCTCCAAAATTGTACTTCAGCACAGAGAAATGGAGAGGTGCCACAGTCTACATTGTGTGCTGTGCTATAATTTGGACCAGAGGGTCTGAATTCTGGTCCCACCTGCCTCAGAAACGTATCCTAACATGTCTGAAAAGGTTGACTAAGAATATCTATCAAAATTTGGCTGCACTTTATGTTTGACCCAAGTGTCTATCCTTCACAAAGTTTACAAGTAATTGAGCGCTCTTGTGGTAATGTTCCTGCGTCTGAGTTAGCAGTTCAAACCCCACCTGCTTCAGCGGTGATCACACATCTGAACAGATTAGTTAAAAGTATCTATATGGACAGCAAGTTCAGCTCAAACCAGGAAGATATGGATGAGTTATTCTGAAACAATTCCTTTTATTTATTGTGGTTCCAATTATTCAAATCATTGTCCTCAGGTTAGTATTTCTAAACAAAAATATTGATAATTCTACCAAGTGCCCGTTTCCAAAAATTAAATAAAATATTTCCGGCTTGCTTTAGTTCCAAAAGTCCTATCATCTGTTCAAAACCATAAACATATGCACAGTGGGTTCATATTCCTGTGGAAGGACTTCAGTGAAGAGAATAAGTGGACATGAGCGATATACCATGTAGAAGGGTTTTGTTGCGCGTGGACCATTCACAAAATATAACTTTTGTTGCATGTTTGACTGCCAACTGCATCTGAAAAGGGACTCTGTGGAGATTGTCATACTGTTTATCATTGGTTTGGAACAGAAAGAGTTTGAATCTTTTAAAGCATGCATGGTAGGAAAGTACAGTAAATTTGCGCTTTTGTGAAATAAAGTGATTGCCCTTTGCAAATATAACATTCCATGTGCTGGGTGCAAGGAGATGTCTAAATGCCTAGACAGAGCAGGTAGTGGAGTAGTCAGTAAAATGAACGTCAGATGAATTTGTTCAACTGCTTTGGCTTCAATGAACTACACCCACAGCAGGGAGCTGCTGACACTGTTTGGTGCGGCAATCTGGCAGTGGGTGATGGTGAAAGGATTGCTTCACTCTACCCCAGCACTAACTGAGCAATTTCAGTAGAGCGCAGTGGCTTAGTGGTTAGCACTGCTGCTTCACAGCACCAGGGACCTGGGTTTGATTCCATCCTCGGGCAACTGTCTGTGTGGAGTTTGCACGTTCTCTCCGTGTCTGCGCGGGTTTCCTCTGGATGCTCTGGTTTCCTCCCACAGTCCAAAGATGTGCAGGTTAGGTGGATTGGTCATGCTAAATTTCCCGTAGTGTCCAGAGGTGTGTAAATCAAGTGGATTAGACATGGGAAATGCAGGGCTACAGGGAAAGGGTGGTGAGCTGGGGATGGGTCTGGGTGGGATGCTCTTCGGAAGGGTGGTGTGGACTTGTTGGGCCGAAGGGCCTGTTTCCACACTGTAGGGATTCTATGAAATATTGACAAATGGAACCCATTCAGAATAAACTTGTTGGGAAGACTGGCGGGCAGTACAATTGGTGCACCTCCGTAATTTATACTTGTAAAGGTGAAATTAATTTCCATCCAATCCGACTTTGCAGTAGCCAATAGATGAACGTGACAAATTCACCAACATATAATGAGTGACTGATTGTCAAATTTTAAGTTTTTTTTATAGAATCCCTACAGTGTGGAAACAGGCCCTTCGTCCAACAAGTCCACACCGACCCTTAGAGCATCCCACCCAGACCCATCCCCCTATAATCCACCTAATCTATACATCCCTGAACACTATGGGCAATTTAGCATGGCCAATCCACCTAACCTGTACATCTTTGTACTGTGGGAGGAAACCGGAGCACCTGGAGGCAACCCACACAGACACGGGGAGAAGTGTGTATTTTCTCCATTTAAAAATGTGGCACAAAATACATTCTAGGAAACAGTGTCGCCCTTTTGGCTCAGCCCAAGGTGTGAACTCCGAGTTGCCAATCATCAGAGGATTTTGAGATCCTCTGGATCTTGGGTGGACCTTGTAGGAACGTTGGTTGACCTGAGCTGCAATTGGTGGGATCTTTATGCTGGCTTCAGCCTAACACCAGTAAACCAGTAGACCAGAGCTATGGCCTCTGCTGATGTCCATGCCCCAGGCCAGGAGGTCCGCAATACAGTCAGGATGACTGTGAAGAAGCTGGAGGAAGAATTGCTAGTTGATCTTCCTCGTGGGGACTGCCCTCCCAGACTGCTGTGGGTTCCAAGCAGCAGAAGTTTTCTGTCGGCAGGCTTTTGTCTGGAACAGTTCTGTGACATGGGACTTTGTGCTATACGGTCTGTTTCCCCAGGATGCACACCAAGACAAACATCGACTGCGCCTGGAGGATCACCAACTCGGTGAAAGATGCTGTCTGGTCTGCTTGAAACGTGATGGTCTTCCAGAGCAAGGAGTTGACCTCAACCAAGTTTTACAGATTGGCACATTGAAAGATCTTTCAAGGACGTCTTAGATGCATGTGGGAAAAGCCGGACCAGCCATAATGTCTGGATGAGCTGAGCAAGGTCCTCAAGTCCTTCAAAAAGAATAAAACTCCCAGAAGCTACAACTTACTGGCTGAGTTGTATTTAGCTCTGTGGGACTTGATTGGCCAAGACCTGCTGGAGGTGTCTGACAGTATGCTTCTGTCAAGTAGCATGTACGAATCCATGAGGAAAGGTATCACGCCCTCATTTGTAAGCGCAAGGGGGAGAGAGAAAAAATTAGAAATTGGTGACCAATTTCACTGTTGAATGCAAATTATGAAATCCTGTCTGAGATCATCGCCAACCAGATCAGGTCTGCTCTGGGATCAGTGATTCACCCAGACCACACCTGTGCTATACTGGGCAGGACGATCTCTGAGAGCCTCACGTCCCTCAGGGATACGATCACCCTATGTACAGGACAGGTGGGGTGGATACCTGCCTTATCAGCCTGGACCAAGAGAAGGCCTTTGACAGGACATCACACGCCAATGTGAGGGACATGTTCTCCAAAATGGGCTTTGAACAGGGAGTCCGTAATTGGACCTGACTGCTGTACACCAACATCAGTAGTGGAATCTCAATCAATGGGTGGGAATCAGAACATTTCCCGATCAGATCTGGAGTCAAGCAGAGCTGCCCACTCGTTCCTGCCTTATTTGTGTATGGTACAGAGCCTTTGCTGAGTCCATTAGGAAGCATGCGAGCCTGAGAGGGGTGACTGTTCCAGGCAGCGGAGGCCTGCAGGTCAAAACCTCCCCATGTATGGATAACATTGCCATTTTCTGCTCGGATCTACTGTCAGTGCACGGACGACCAGTTTGAACTGGCTTTGAGAGCCAAGGTAAATTGGGGCAGGAGTGAGGCCATGTTCCTTGGTAACTGTCACAGGGACACCATGTACAAATCTCTAAAAAAAGGGGGAAAGGACATACCTAACACTGCCCTCATCCTGATGGCCACCTTTGTGTGTGGCTGCATCAAACTGTGCATAGATCCTCGGTACACAAACACCAAGTGTCACTACATCCTGAGGTTCTACATGTTCCTGCTGATGCAAAGGATGGGTTTGGCCTTGTTGCAATGGAACGCTCCAAGTAGTAGGACCATTCTGTATCACCTGTCGCTCGTGAAAATATTTACAAGAAACACCTTTGACCACAAGTCCATCAGGCAGTAGTCAGCACATAGCATCCTTGAGACCCTGTGCAAAATGGAGAGGGTTGATCTTGTTGCATGGTTCCCTGAGCAGACTGTTAAAATCATCTGGCAGAATGTTTCATCATCAAACTTTCCAACAAGCACCAAGACATCACTTGGCTGGTGGTGAGAAGAGCACTAACTGTGAGATCCTTCATGTACACCTGGTCAGTCTGCACCACCACACACTGCCCTTGAAGCAGCTGCAGGAAGGTTGAGGCTGTCACACATCTCCTTCCGGAATGTGCCTTTGCAAAAGAAGTCTGGAGAGAGATGCAGTGGTTTGTGTCAAGGTTTGTCCTGAGCAGCTCTGAGATGCTGGATCCTATGCTCTACAGTCTGTTCCCCAGGACGCACATCAAGACAAACATCAACTGTGTCTGGTGGACCTTCAACTTGGTGAAAGGTGTTCTTTGGTCTGCCCAAAATTTGTTGGTCTTCCAGTGTAAAGAGTTGACCTCGGTCAAGCATTGCAAACTGGCACATTTCAAGGTCCAGGACTTCCAGCTGACGGATGCATTAAGCTTGGAACAGCTGCCACCAAGGTGCAGTGGGGAAAGACCACTGTCTAAGGTCTTTCTGCTGAAGTTTACTGAAGGTTTGTTCAGTTATCAGACCCTCTTGGTGCCTCAATGTCTGTAAATACTCTCCTGCATGAGCAAGAAATGCCTTTGGTTTTTTTGCAACTGCAGTGAATGTCAAATTCCAACGTTTGTTTTCCTTGACACTGTACAGAACTGCTTTAGTACCTGTGAATGTAAGTAAAGATTCTTTTTGTGAATAAAGTGTATTTTTGCAAAGTGCCAGGGCACAGTCAATATTCCTTGTAAAGACTATAAAGTAGCTGATATAAAAATGTGAAGAATTCTTTTGGAGTGGTTGAGCAACGAGGAAACAGTCCGACGCATGTATGTCTCCTTTTATTTTTGTATGCTGTAATTTCCTTCCAAGCCTGGGAGCAGTGTCACTTTAAGGCTCTGCGGCTGACTTGATAAGCGTGGGTTGTGTTGTGACAGACTCTTTCTCTTGTAGGAGAAAGACTGAGCTGCTGAATGACTGACTGACTGAGCCAAGCCATGTGGAGTGCGAGAAGCAGATTTCTAATCGTCCTGCTGTTCTCGACTGCTTTTACGATCGATCTGCTCTTCAACATCTTACCGAAGTTACAGCAGCGGTCGATCCGGAACCTGCGCTGCCCGTGTGAGGAGGGGTCGTTTAATAGCAGCGCCGTGCTGCGGGGCTCCCCGGCTCTCGACACAACTCTCTCCAAACTCCGCAAACTCCTCTCGCACCCTTTGTACCGGGAGCAGAACCTAGTCCGGACACCTGGGGACCTCCTCTTAGAAAAGGACGATGTTGTGAAATATTGCAAATACAAAGCTAAAGTGGCGAATGGGTAAGTCGTGGGTAAACTCTCTCTCTCTGCTACGATTATTATCACTGCGATTGTTTGTTTCGTCTGAAGGTTGCGAGAGATTACAGGTGCAAATCGTGGAAATAGTTGCGCACTTTTACAAAAAGAAAAATTCCATTGATGAAATCCCCCTGTTCCTATCCGGCAGAAATTAAGGCTGATGGTCGCTGACATCTGACACATACTACGGCTCATCGACAGGTAGACAGTGAGAGACTGAAAAGCACCAGCTGCCTGTCCCAGTGTTCCAGTTCCTTTGCCCACAGTTTGTGTTAAGGAAGCCCTGATGCTAGTTCATCTTACAAATGGCCGAGTTGCCGGACTGCTGCTCTGGTGTAGTTGGGGCACTGGGGTAAGAGGGGAAGGAAAATACTGCGGATGTTGGAGATCTGAAATAAAAACCGCAAGTGCTGGAGGAAACAGAGTGTGGAGCTGGAGGAACACAGCAGGCCAGGCAGCTGCTCCTCTGATGCTGCCTGGCCTGCTGTGTTCCTCCAGCTCCACACTGTGTTATCTCAGACTCCAGCATCGGCAGTTCTTACTATCTCTAAGTGCTGGAGAAACTCAGCTGGTCTGTGGAGAGAGAACAGAGTTAACGCTTCCAGCCCAAAGTCTCTGAGTCACTGGACTCAACATTTGGAACCAACATTATTTCTGTGGGTCAGTGGGGATCCTTTTGAGCACTGAATTTTGATTTGCAGCTGCCAAACATTCTGTAAAATTATACCGTGGAGTGTCGCTGTGCCAATCTACTTCATTCACTGCTTGTGCCACCCAAGTGGCTCACCAGCCAGTGCTGCAAGTTGAAGTGTCCAGGATGATACATTGGGCAAAGCCAGCACTCCCTGAGATTTGCTTTTAAATCTACCCTGAGCTTAGTAATTCACATTTACCAATCAACAGGTCAAAGAAAAGCCTGATATTTTACCAGCAAATAGAAGGTGTCGTTCTTGCATTGGGGCAAGCAGCCTCATTGGACTTGATCTTAAGTCTGGGTGCATGGGTTTGGAATGGGTTAAACTCAGATCCTAAATCAATGTAGAGTCAGTGCTAATTATTAGAAAAAATGTTATTTTAATTTTTAAAAAACTTATCTAATTCACCAATTTTCTCGTATATTTGGCTGAACTGAAAATTATATATAAATTTTAAGGATAATCCTGAAATTTTTGAAATTGGAAATGATCTATTCCATCTTGCAATATCCCGAATATAACTGCGCTGAGTTAACCTATCTCCATGTAGTGAATTCAAATGCTTTCTGTACAATGTACTTATGGCACTTGCTGAAGCAGTTTGAGGCATAAAATAATTATATAACACAGTTGGAAGTGCTGTATAAGTGTATCCCACACTTGGTTCACTTCATAGTTCGCTAAGAAATACAGTTTAAGACCATTTTTTCAATTTGTATTGAGACACATGCCAGATTCTGCAGTGATTTCAAGGGCTCCCAGCAGTCAATTCTGTGGCAATCACCAGCATCTCCTTTTGGAGTAGAGGGAGATTTCCTGTCCATCAGCCACACCCCTGCTGCAGGTTTGAGCTCAATTATGCCAAAGAATTAGGTTGGGATTAATTTCAACAGCCCCATGCACCGCTTGCAGCTGCTATAATTTCCTATGAGTCTTCAACATTGTGGAACAGTTTAATTTACAAGTACAATCACATGCAAATGAGGTCATGCAGATTTTCATGATGCTAATACTTTATTTACATAGTTTGCACACTTGGTCTGTGCAGAGTAGCCATGAACTCCACTTTCAGCATGCACATTCTTTTTAAAAGGGGAAACAGTTTAAAATTGGATTATATCATCTAGAATTGTTCAGATGGTTCCAGCATGTTGTGATCACCTACCCATTACTTTTGTAAGATGAGGGTGGCTCTATGAATGAATGTTGGAAAGGCCCTTCTGCATACAATCTGCCTCACTCAATATTATCCACAACATATATGGAGTTAGGCTGAGCTCTGCTGAAGGAGAGTGGCTTTCACACACCTTCATTTACCACTGAGATACTGCCAGGATTGAATTGTCTACTGCAGACAGCTTCAAGGCTTGCATTTCCAATTGCAATTAAGATCACATCCATCTCTAAGTTCTGTGTTGCTAGGATCCTTATTGCAGGGTGTAGGTGTAATATTTGAATCACTAATATTTGGCTCATCTGGGTAAAAACTGTATTAAATCTTCCCAGGGGAAATAAAGCTGCAGGATAGTGCATTGGAATTGATGCATCACTGAATGAAACCTAAGATGTTACTAATGGAATTCATTGGTCATCCTAATTCCTAACCACAATACCCTGCCATACATAGAACTATGAGAACTTCTGTTGTAGCTATATCCAGACGGGTCAGTGCCCATCACACAATGTGAATAAGGTCAATACCGTCTCTCCTGGCAACTTCCAGGAAGCCAACTTATGTTTGGAATACAGAATTCGGGGTTCAGCAGAATGGGCTCTAGGGGACCCTGCACTGCTGGTGCTGCCAGGGCCTATCAATGTGAAAATGTTGACTGAATGCCTTGGGCTTATGTTCATATTTGCACAGATTTATTTAGAGCTGCATCTAGCAGACATACAACCTGCCCAGAAGTGCTGCCTATCCAACTAATAAAGGTGTCAAAACACTCCTGCACCCTTCCATCCCATCTCAGCACCCACTGCACCTCTAGTTCTGCAACTGCCAATTGTCAACCACACTCCCACCCCAACCCTCAATGCAGATGGGCTCTGCTCACCTCCCGCCCATCTCCAGGATTTGCAAAATGTCCTGGACACCTGCAGTTTCCCCCATCAAAAGACACTCCACCTCCACTCACCATGCTGCAAGTAAATGATTTTTACCATTTAGAGGAGACCTAATTGTGCAGCGAAACATAAAGGAAAATCCGACAATGTTGACATGAAACAGGTTTCCAGGCAGGAAGAGGAATATTCCAGGTTCTCATGGTGGAGTTATTCAGCAAGTTGACACTCACATCCATTTCCGTTATTGGCTTGCCAACAGGCCCATAACACCATTCTCAGTATGGGTTTTGGAACCTGAATGGGTCATTAGGGACTTTTATTTCTTCTCACTTGATTCAAGTGAAATTGGAAGCTGGTGATCTAATTATAGGACATGTACAAAGAGTGGGAAGATTATCTGTAAACAATGCAGTTTTATCTGAATAAATTCCAGTAACAACTCTGCACATTTTTGGAAAAGGTCTTGGACTTTTCAAACATTTGCCAATGATGTCTGGACAGAGTAAAGTTGATAGTCTGTCTACCATTAAAATGTTTTTATTGAGGTGAAGAGAGATTGACCTGTATAAATTTCCAGTGAGTTGGTTTGGAGATTCAGAGTATTTTTCAGCATGCACTAAATGCTGTTTGTGCCAAAAAAAATGAAAAAAAAAATTTCCAACTGTCTCTATTCTGTATCTGGCATATTTAGCACTCAGGTCAGGCATGATTCACTCATAGCTGCGGCACTCCTGCAGTCTTCTTATTATATAAAAATTGACTTCCATTTAAGCAATATCTTGAGACTCCCAACACTTCCCTTCCCACCACAGCCACCATATATTCCACAGAATTTTACGCTGCACCTCAAAAAGTGATTTGTTCATTTGCTGTTGTTAAATTCACATCACAAACAACAAATGAGATGAATGAGCAATTCATCTATTTTTGGTTGTGTGACTGAGTGTGAAATGTTAGGACACTGGAAGGATTTTTACACTGAATTAAGCCATAAGATCTTTCATGTTTATTTGAAGGACTGGAACAAGCAGATGGGCTTCATCTTAACAACTTATCTGAAAGACAGTGGCACTGACAATTCAGCAGTGAATTAAAGTTTGAACTTAATTTGACTGGAGGATTAACTCTCTCATAGACATAACAGAGCAATCTACTTACTATTTTCTTGGAATTTTGCAAATTATCTATTTTTACACAAAAGAAATTGTGTTTTGCAATTGGGAACAGTGTGATTCATACTGTTTCTAATTTATTGGCAGATCTCCCCTGACATTGCTTGCTGTGATTCAAAAATCTAACAGTATGCACATTAGCAACAACATGGGCTAGGAAAGTTTTACATGGAGTAAATATGTTACAGGAAGTAATTGCTTGATAGAACAGAACTTAAATATTGGCAAAAAGAGACATGAAGTTGAAGCTTTTGACTTCGAACTCTTCGGGACTAAATGCAAGACACTGAATGGAAAAGGAACACCATTTATACAGCATAAGAAAAGCTTCGACTTCATGACTCCTTTTGGCAATGATACAGGAAATGGGCATGGTTTTTAATATGTGAATATGGCTGCAGGATATTGGCAGCTTTAATTTTCAAGAAAGTGAGTAGTTTTTTTGTATTAAGTTACAAAGGTGTATTGATTAAATGTGATTGAAGTGCAGATCAACCACGATTTAATCGAATAACGAGTGAGGGTCAAGGAGCTGAATAGGCTACTCTTGTTCTTGCTCCTATGTACAAAGTACAATTTTCAGCAGGTAGCTTACAAGCTAGGTTGTAGGCTTGTAATCCCACACGGGGGAGATTTTTGCAGATGTGTGTTTACACCTTTGGATTTCAAATAATTTGAGAACCTGGTGAGCAACATTATCTTCAAGCTTTAAAAAATGCTCGCCTTTGGTACATAAAATGTTCTGAATTCCTCAGAATCCTGCACGCATCTTACAACCAATTCAAACTGAAATGATGCAAAGTTTGTGCACTGCTGCACCTTAGGGTTCACGCTGGGAGCTGAGATTGTCACTTTGGAGCAATATTAAAGTGGCAATTTGACAGCTCCCTTGGTGAGAGTGACAAATCATACGTGTTACGTTAAAGAAGGTGCTGTAGCAAGTTCTTCTGAGGATACAATGTATTGAAATTTTATATCCTGGGGATAAGGTGGAGAATAGCAAGAGCTTTTAGCACTTTTCCTTTGAAACTCTGTAGGGAAATATTTTGCA